AACAACAACAACATGGAAAGTATACATCATCCCAATTTTGTAAATACTAGGGGGCTTCCAAAAGTTCCTGGAAAAATTAAGGTAGTGCAGTTTTTCCATGAACTTTTTTAAGCTGTCTCGTATAGTATTTCATAATGCAGCACTCATTTATGAGTAGTTTTTCAAGAAAAAGATAAAGACAATCACATAAAATGTACACAATGATGGAAAAATACAGCCTAGAAATGTTAAAATGTATAACTCAGAGTCCAGGAAATACTGTGTGTGTGTGTGTATGTGTAGATGTGCAGCCATGTATCCAAAGTATGCAAACATATAACTAGCCATAATATAAATATGCCAGCATAGATATGGTTATATACATATGCACACACTCATGTATCCTAGGCATGGAAAATACTGTAGTGGATAGTTTATAAAGTATTTCTCTCTGAATATTATGTTATAGGTGATTGTTTTTCATTCTTTTTGTATGTTAGAATTTTCCAATTTACCTATAGCAAAATTGTATTGTTTTTATAATGGAAAAGGAAAAAAAAAAAGTCAAGAGACTTATATATATTAATAAAACCAATACACCAGTTGCCATCAACTCTACCCCCACTCATGGCAGCCCCGTGTATGTCAGAGTGGAACTGCACTCCATGGAGCTTTCAGTGACTGGGTTTTGGGAAGCACATCACCAGGCCTTTCTTCCAGTGTTCCTTCTGGTTAGCAGCCTAGATTATAAACCATTTGCACCACCCAGGGACTCCTAAAATATCATCACTGTTTTTTGGTTGGTTGGTTTTTGGCCCCATTCTGATAACAAGAGACCCTCACTCCTGATTCTCATTGTTTCAGGGATGATACGTTTTCAGACACTCTGAGCCAAAAAGCAGACAGTGAGGCCAGCAGTGGACCAGTCACAGAAGACAAGTCTTCATCCAAGGATATGAACTCCCCAACAGACCGACATTCTGATGGCTACTTAGCCAGGTAAATGGGGTCTGGAAAGCAGGCTCCTTAGTAATTCAGCTAGGGCTGTGAGGATCCACAGGACGCTCAGTCTTGTGTTTCCCAGTGTGATAAACTCCCGTTTTCTCTCTCTGGGTCTAGACAAAGAAAGAGAGGCGAACCACCTCCTCCAGTAAGGCGTCCTGGCAGGACCAGTGATGGCCACTGCCCACTCCACCCCCCACATGCTCTTTCCAACTCCTCAGTTGACCTGGGGTCCCCAAGCCTGGGCAGTCACCCCCGAGGATTGCTGCAGAATCGTGGCCTCAACAATGACAGTCCTGAGAGGAGGCGTCGGCCTGGCCATGGCAGCCTGACCAACATCAGTCGGCACGACTCCCTCAAGAAGATTGACAGCCCTCCTATTAGAAGGTCTACGTCATCAGGGCAATATACAGGCTTCAGTGACCACAAGCCATTGGACCCAGAGACAATCGCTCAGGTATGAAGCTTTAACTGGAATGCTATCTACTGTACAGGCTCACTGAGTGGGAACCAGCTCGACAGCACTTAACACACACATGTAAGTACCCTGGTCTGATGAAGGAGGTGTGAAGTGTTTACTTACTTTAAATCTTAAAGCTGTGTTTCTTGTGTAGGGCCAACTAAATAAAAAAATAAGTTATCCCATTCTAGGTCTAGCTGTCCTAGTATGGCTCTATAGGATAAGAATTGGACTACTAACCACAAGGTCAGCAGTTCAAACCCATCAGCTGCTCCTTGGAAACCCTAAACAGGGTTGCTATGAGTCAAACCAACTTGGCAACACTCAACAATAACAGGTCTGGCTATGGGTCTCCTTTGAAAAATCTTTTATTCCCTGGAAGTACCACGATGATTACATTCATACTTATTTAAACAGAAGCAACCCAGAAATGGAGGACCCAGAATATTTAACCCACCATTGCTAAATAGTCAAGAAAACTTTTAAAAATGAGGAAGGACTCACTCTACCAGATCCTGTATTGAAAAGCTAGTAAAGATGACAGATAATGAACCAGAATGGAGAGTCCAGAAACAGAAGACATTTTATGTATGCTAAAGACGACACTTTCAATTTAGAAAATGATGGATTAGTCAATAAATAATGGGTAAATAATGCTTAGCCCTTTGAAGACAAGAAAGTCTAAATCCTGCTCCTCTCCTCAACCCATATATACCATCACTTCCCAACAGTGGCTGGGAATACGGGATTAGTAGGGTTTTTTTCTAAAATTTAGAATTGACAAAGTAAAAGTAAAACATTATTCATTAATTTGACCGTTGTTCTATCATTCTGCTCGTTAATTTTTTTTTTACAGCATAGACCATTGGGAAAGAGATTTATAGCCAATGACAGAGGACTTGAGTAGATTCATAAGCATTTTCCAATTATCCATGAAGCTAAAACACTAACCAAATAGGTCCAAAAAGAGAGTGATGATTAAATAAGTGAAAGATACATGAGGAAATAATTAAAGATCGATTTAAAAAAAAAAGTTTTTTTTTAAATAAAAAGCCCCCAAGGACAGCTGCTCTGATAGGCCAAGTTTCCAAGCTATTTTCAGTATCTTAATTAAAATGAAGCTTGATCAGCAAATTAGACTGGGTGAGGAGTTTAATATGTTTTATTTTGTTCCATTAAACCTTCACTTAAACTCATTTAAATGTACAACTATTTCTCAGCAAAAATCAAACAGGCTTGTGACTCTTTCTGTTGAAAGTGCTTCACAAGGCCGCCTGACGCATCCTAAAAGAACAAGTGCTGTTTGACCATGGCTGAATTTAATCCTTCATAAAAGCACTGCGAGCTGCAATTAGGTGAACGTGATTTAGCTTAGAAAAGCGCAGAAATAAGGAATTGGGAGGTGGGAAAGCATAAGGTCTGTTTAACCCTTTTGCTTCTAGTACTAGGAACTTCTCTTCTCTGGCAGATGATTTAAAAAATGAAAATAAAAAACATGACCAAATACATCAGTCTCTGCACATTTCCTTCCTGGGGCAGATATTTGTTATTTAAAACAACAAAACATGTTTAGCAGCAAATAGAAACCACATATGAAAATAAGCACTTGAAAAGTGATGTCATTCTCACAATATGGCTTCCAGCTTTGTCCTTTACTCACTTGTCCATCTCTTGTCTTCACATTTTCCAGTGAAGACATGTTAGCTTGCCATCCTGATGTTCATATGAAAAGCATGCAAAAGCTCTTTCATTAAGCAAATCAGTGGAATCTCTGATGGTGATGTTTAAAACTCTACAGTGTCCGAGTTCGTCGTATCTTAGTTCATTCATTATTGGAGTCTGTAATTTAACATTGTTAAGTGCTGTTGAGTCAGTTCCAACTCATAGAGACCCTGTATAGGGTTTCCTAGGAGCAGCTGGTAGGTTTGAACAGCCAACCTTGCAGTTAGCAGTCCAGTGCTTATTCTATAAAATCTCACTAAGACACCAATTTAATATTGTTATTGTTGGTGTTATGTGCTGCGGAGTAGGTTCCGACTCATAGCGAGCCTGTACAGGGTTTCTGAGGCTGTAAATCTTTACGGGAACAGAAAGCCTCACCTTTCTCCCACGGAACAGCTGGTAGTTTCGAACTGCTAACTGAGAGATTAGCAGCCCAATTCGTAACCACTTCGTTACCAGAGCTTCTTAATTTAACATTAGTGTCTCATTTAATCACTTAACAAGCCTTTATTGAACACTTACTGTATATCAGGTCCCATCCTATGCCTAATGGACGCAAAGTTAAATCAGTTGTCCCTACCTCAGGCTGCTTAGAATCGAATGCAAAAATGAATACAGACATCCACTACTGGTGTGCCACTGTGTAAGGATGGTGCTCCAGATAAGTGGCACTGTAGAATAAGCACTGAACCTCAAGGTTGGTGGTTCAAACCCACCAGCCACTCCTCAGAAACCCTGTACAGGGTCCTTATGAGTGGGAACTGACTCAATGGCATTTAACAACAACAACAATGTTCTAGGTAAGTAGATGAAGCCGTAGAAGTGTAGGAAGAGATTTTTCAATGAAACCAGGGCAATGGTTCCTCACATTGTCACCCTAAACCCCACTTTTTATAAAACAATCATTTTGTAATTTACCCTTTACTATCCTAAAATAAAGTCATAGATGATACACATAATTTGGGAAAATATATAGAGCTCTAAATGTAATAAAAATGAGAAATGAAAGATAAGTATTAAAATAAACATTTTCATTAATAATTGGACTTGAATACACTAGAAGACAAATGAAATAGATGATTTCACCTATATGTAGAATTATCAAATGCAACAGTTAAAATACATAATTGATATAGCATTGCATTCATTAGTTTTTAACTCAAATTCCATGAAAAGTGTTCCCAAAACTGATGTGACTTTCCCAAAATGGTAGAAAACTCTAGTTCATACAGTTTCAGTCAAACTGAAGTCACATTCCTGGAATGCTCAACACCGAGCAAAAAATACCTTTGAATTTATGTGTAAGGAAAGAGGTTCTAGGCTCAGGTTATTATAAACAAGAGTTTTCACCTACAAAAATATCTGGTTGCTGGGATATGGGGGGTGAGGGGAGGGAGGAGAAGGTGGAACACAGGGCAGGAAATAGACACAGGATAGTTTGAAAACTAGGGAGGGGGGCAATATACAAGAAGGGGGGGAAATGGAAGAACAAAATGGATGGGAGAATAATTAGGCAGGTTTGCATGGTCTAAGTGGGACAGAGGTAAATTATTATGTGTGCACAACCTTGGTACAACAGGACTCTGGGATACACGGTTTGAGACATGGTTGGAATGGGGAAAAGTGG